CTGAGGGAGACATATAGGATTAGATTAGTTTTCAGAGCTATTGGACTATGAAAACGATTAGAACATAAAGTCAAGTCCATCCTGGTTCATTAGGTCTACAATACTGTTTTGCTGACAAACTGTTGCTAGGCATAATTGAACACATTTTTATATCACAGCTACAGAAACAAAAATACAAAGCCAGTGTCGGGAGTAACTAGTTCTTAAAGTAACTAAGCCATACAACACCCTAACCAAAGCAATCCGGCCACACATAATCTAAATGATGATTGTGTATTGGTTTTGAACTAATTTAGGGTGTTTATTGTAATGAGGATTACACCAAAAGACACCAAAGACTTTTGAATTGCCAAAATTAATCTGGGTAGACTCAGAAATGAAACTAATTACAGAAAATAAGATGGATAGGGCGGCACGGTGGCTGAGTGGATAGCACTCTCGCCTCTCAGCAAGAAGGTCCTGGGTTCGAATCCCGGTCGGACCAGGGCCTTTCTGAGTGGAGTTTGCATGTTCTCCCCGTGTCTGCGTAGGTTTCCTCCGGGTACTCCGGTTTCCCCTACCACTAAAAACATGTCCAATAGTTCTAGCATGCGCCTCCTGTACTGGAGACCCTGCTCCCATCTCTGTGTGGAGTGAGAGACAAATGCCCATAATTAACAATTGTAAACCGCTTTGAGACTCAGATCTGCAGTGAAAAGGCGGTATATAAATAAAAACTTACTTACTTACTTACTTACTATAATACAAAAAAACTCAAAGAAACTCAAGTTCTGTGTTTCATTTAATATCATTTTTACCCCACTGTATTTTTCAATTGTTTGTTGCAGATGCAGGAGGATGACCCAGGACCCCATAGACATTTGTAATTGATGAACATTTATGGAAAATGGGCATCCTGCTCCCTAAGGACCATTGGCGCCTATGTATTCTAATTATTAGATTCTCTAATCTGCTGTTCGCAAATTGACAGAAATAAATTGCATTTAATAGTTTGCTTTTTTATTTTTGCAAATTTGCTTTATTCTCATTATCACTGCATTTCTGTTTTCATTTGACTTAAAAAAAAACAAAAAAACAAAGAAGATAATAATTGTTAAATGCAACTTGTGAGCAACAAACAGAGCTTTCTGCTGCTGAAACATTTGAGACGACGTCAGACAAATGTCACTCAAACACTGTCGGTGTGACAGTGTTAGTGTTGTAGATTCAAAAGTAGAGCTACATTATATTTTCATCCCAGTAACATTTTGTTCAACATCTAATAATAATATGTGCAGTATTTTAGTGTCATGGCCCAACACTGGTCAAAGCTGTGGAGCCAGGTTTGTACGTGAGCAGAGCTGTCTGTGTGATGTTGTGCCCAACAAACATGGAGGTTGATACTGTTGGGTATCTGTGTTGAAATGATTTGGACCCAGGTGCTTTACCCTTCATTGCATTCAGTTTTATCAAAGTGTGGCAGTGCTGCTGGCCCAATCCCAAACACCTTTTGCTTTGAGCCTTTTTTTTGAGCACTAGAAACCACAGTCCTCCTGCTCCGGTGCATTCAGACACAGGCATAAATGAACAGGAACAAGCTCAGCCACAGAGGAAAGTGAGCGAGATCGATGGAGGTTTGGTGAATTAAAATTGAACATTTGCCCTCACCGCTTTGAAATCCAGGAGGAATGCTGTGACTAAACTGATACAAAAGCTCCTGGCTCAAGCCTGACAAGCCAATTTTCATGGTATGTTGATTTTTCATCTCATCTCTGAGAGAGGACAGAAGTGCAGCACTGTAACCACAGCGGCACCTGGGCTCTGTACAGCTTATATAAAAGCCGATCAAGTATTTTCAATAGTCTGCGCAAACAGTCTATATTTTCAACGTGACTGAGCGGGTTACTGGCCTCTTTCCCCGTGTTTAACTTTCACCTTGCATGTTTTGACTCTTTGATCACCAACTCAAACCATGTACAAATGTCCCCCACATCACAGTAGTTCTGGCTATTATTATCAAAAGCATTATATATTCCAAATGTCTGTCCCCTCCAGCGCTGAATGTGTTGCTGGGTTGTTTTTCTATGCTTTCTGTATAAACAATAAGCGGCATTAGAAAAACCACTGGGAAGCCGTTGGAGGAAATGTTGCAAAGCCGCGGGCTATGGTGATGCAAAGGACCTCATATTTTTCTCATTGTTTTGGTCCCCGGTATAGAGAGGCTGAACTTTCACACAAAAATATACAAAAGGCTCGGTGGACACAGCCAGTCCATGCATAAACATCTTGAAGCTACTTTTTGATGTCGAAGCTGCACTGCGGCATGAAAACGACTATTTGGTCACACACGTTGAGCCCCTTCCAAATCTACCCAGCCATGAGACTCCATTATGGCTAATCTGCAGCAGCGCCTCTCACACATGCACATGTTAATACAGAGAAGTGTGTCATATACTCAACACCCTCAAAGTCACAAGGGCCCTCATTTTTTGTGCATCTGGGGCTCATCGTCACGGTAACCCATCTTATATAACAGGAAAAGCTGCTTGGAGGCGGGAACGCATATTCTCCCGGCGCGAACCTTGGCATTCTGGATACCTGAACGCCAATGGATGGGGACGTAAACCCATGAATATGAATACTTAAAAGTGAGGCAGTTAGAGGGGACGTGTTGTGGCATTCAAAAGGGCAACACTTAGAAAGAATAGGCAGTTGACATGTCCTGCGTGTTGTTGTCTGGTAATGAACACATGTGTTTAAGGACCGCTCGGACGTGGGTGTACGGGGGCTTTGCGATGTAGGAGGAATAATCCACTGGGGGATGGGTCTTCCTACTATAAGCCTGTTGGAGGGGAAGAGCGAAAAGAGAAAAGCACTCAGAACCCTTTCCCCCGGCCACTTCTCCAGGGATACATGCAAAAGCCAAGGCACTTTCTCACACGTCCTCTCTCTCTCCTATCTCTTAGCGTGTCCCATCTGTTCACAGTGACACGGCCCTCTGTTGCTATCATTACTGCTATTAGCAACACTAATGCGCCACTGTTGCCCGGGTTTTGCACTTCCCTCATGCTGCGTGTTGCCTTTGTTGTACTATTTTTACAGCCCGCTTTAAATGAGAATGTCATTTGGATTAGTAACGCAACACAAAAGTAGGCTAATGTCTAAGAACTGTTATGGGTGGTCAAGAAAGTTTGTTTTGTTTATGGTGGGCCTGAGATACAGCCATCACCCTCTGCGGTTGTTGCCACTGACTGACACACACACACACATTCACACTGTAAAAAGTGATGAAAAATCAGTACAAAATTGAAAAAATTTGGCAAAATGTATTTAAAACAAGGGACAATAAAAATGATCTTTTTTGAAAAAGATGCAAGAAATTATGTTTAGAGACGGTCATAATGTACTCAAATTAGGATTCATTTGAGCATTTATTACTTAATATCTAATTGTTTTAGCAGTGTCAGGGCCTCTTATTGTGGTCAATGTAAACTGCAGAGATGCAATGAGTCACTGGGTTGAGATAGCAACTTTTTCTTTTTTCTTTTTTTCTTTTTTTTACAGTTCATTCACTTATGATTGAGGTTCTGTAACTATGTATTTAAAGAGTGCCCACGACTGCTCTGTTCTTTGCAAGAATGACCTATCCATCTTATACTGATGATTGAGCTGCACTTTCAAGAGCGACAGTCCCTTTATGTTGCTGACCATGCAATGAAAAAGGTCATATCTGCAGTAATAATTTCATCACTGAAGTTATCCTTGGCGAAAGGGCCTATTGCTTCAGGGATCTTCACCATGTCTTTGAAATGAGCGAGAGCTTTCTGAACATGAATAGTTTATAGCACTCAAAAAAGGTTTTATTTATTTATTTATTGTTTATTTGATTGGGACAGTACATGTTAATGAACACATCACTCTGGATTGTAGCCATGGGCTAATTTGCATCCATTGTCCCACATTCACACTGACAAACACACACTCATTCACCCTGAACTGTTTTTAGTGGTAGGAGAAACCGGAGTACCCAGAGGAAACCTACGCAGACACGGAGAGAACATGCAAACTCCACTCAGAAAGGCCCTGTTCCGACCGGGATTCGAACCCAGAACAAACAAAGGTAAACAATGTTCTGATGTTGGTCAAGCCTCTGCAGGGGGAAGCGCCTATTGTTTTTCTGATGAGTAATGTCTGCGTGACGCTGTCCTGGAGAGAGTCCGCTTCACTCAGAATCCCATATGGACGCCATGGGTCATAATTATATCAGCTATTGTTCACGGGAAAATGGGAAAATGAGTTGGAGCAGATGTACAGGTGATATACTCCACGGCGAGGTTGGCCTGCTCAAAAGCTTTTGAATTCTGTACTGTATGTGTTTGTATGTTCATTCAACACATGAAAATATCCTTTTGGAACAAATGTCTATGAGATACTATACAAAAGGTCTGTTTTGCGAGGTGATTAAAGTTTGTAAGTTAGTTTTTCTTTTCTGCAAATTCTGAAGACATATCTACAAAGCAACAGTTAATATTTGTATGGATAATGCCATCCTCCGCTCATATGCTGCCGGTTTGTGCAAAACATTAATTTCAATATAATAAATGGTGATTTAGATTGATTGATTTCAAATTGACTTGGATGCCTTCCCAATTGTAATAGAGTGTACGAGGGGTATGTTTTGTCTTGTGGGATTTTTATTTGAAACATGTGACATCAATAAAATGTCATTGTCAATATTTGTATGAATATTGTCATCTCGATCAAACCGACTTTTAGCTCAAATAAGGAAAAACTTTGTATTCTCTTTTCTCTCTATCTTGAATTTCACCCCATAATTGATGCAGAGCTTTATATATAGGAATCAAACAATTGTGCCACCTCCAAAAGTCAAATGACATTGATAAGATAAGATAGACTTTATTGATCTCACACAGGAGAAAATGTCACATCTGGCATGGATAGAATCCCTCAAGATTTGTGCAAAGAAAGAAGTGTGTGAAAACATATTAAATGCAGGATAT